ATTTTTGATTTTTTTTTTTTTTTTTTTTTGTCTTCTCTAAAAGGCAGAAAACTACGAAGAGCCCACCCAGGTCCTGAGCTCCCCAAGACCTGGGTCCTCCACCGCCCCCAAACCCAGCAGGAGCGCGGTGGGCAGCTGGAGGCGGGTTCTTCGGTCACTCCCTGATGGGAAGGCGCCGTCTCGCTCGCCTTCCGGTTCCACTGCTGCTGCCTCCCCACCCAGGAGAGGGCTGGGCTGGTGGGGACCAGGGCTATGCGGGCAAGCTCAGCTTCTTCCCCTTGAGGACTGCAGAGAGACGCTGGCGTTACCGGGACCCCGCACCCCGGACTCCAGGCCGCGGGCCGAGCGCCATGGCCTGGGCCTCGACAGGGAGAACCGGGGACGCTGGACTTGTCCCCTCCTCCCCCTCTGAGGGACCCAGGCAGAGGGTGCGGCAGGGCTCCGTCCCGGGGGCCTCTCCCTCCTCTGCACCCAGTCCTGCTTCTGGGGTCTGCTTCGCCCTCACCTCCCCGGGGCCCAGGTGAAGTTGTCCCCCGAGGCCCCTCAGAAACACATCCCTAGCTTCTCTCCCTCCCGGCTCTTCTGACCTCGGGGAATTCTCTCTTCTTCACGCCCAACCTCCCCTCTAAGCTCCGAGGGGAAGGAAAGGGCCTCGGCCGTCTTTTCTCCTCCTGCTGCACCCCCGGAGCCTAGCACCAGGCCCAGGACGCACAAAGCATTCAATATATTTATCCAACGAATGAATGAACCTCAAGGTTCTGCGTCTTCCCCGGCCTGATCTCCACCTGAAGCACTATGACAGCCAAGGACACAAACTCCTGAATTCCCAGGGGGCAGGGACCAGGCACCCCGAAGCCACGGGAGGAAGAGGGACAGAGGACTTGGGACACGGACCCCAGGCCTCAGAGCACCCACAGTTGCTGAGGAAAGGGCCTGCACCCAGGCTACCTTTGGTGATGTAGAGGTAGAAGAAGTCACAATAGAGGACCGTCTGGACCAGGCCAGCCACGATGGCAATGAGGTCGAAGAAGCCCTCGAAGTGATAGCGCCAGATCCAGTTGAAGAGATAGAGCGTGCGGTAGACGCCCAGCGCAAACAGGTAGTGGCTGGTGATGGTCTCCGCCTCGCCGGTCTTGCTCACCATGAACAGCTGTGGCAAGATGGCCACGGACTCAAGGTAGATGGAGAAGGTCCAGAGGATCTGCGGGGAGGGGACAGCGGGAGAGAGGACGGGAGTCACAGGCTCAGGGAACTGGACCTGGCGCTTAGCACAAGCCCAGCACCATCTTTCCCCAATTATTATCTCCTTTAATTCTCTCCACAGCCCCAGGAGGAAGCTAAGATTTTGTTTATTTTGGTTTGGTGTTTTGGAGACAGGGTATCATTTTGTAGTTCAGGCTGGTCTTCAACTCATATGTAGCCCATGCTGGCCTGGAAATCACAGCGATCCTCCTGCCTCAGCCTCCCGAGGGCTGGGATTACAGGTGTGCACCACCACGCCCGGCTATATACGTTTTAAACAAGCACCACTTATAGCATGAGCATTAGAAGCAGGCCTGGGTTCAAATCATGTGAATTCTCCCTTTGAGCCTCGCTTCAATCCTCTGAAAATTGAGGACGAGGCCCAGCACAGTGGGGCAACCCTGTAATCCCAGCACTTGGAAGGCTGAGGCAGGAGGATCCCAAGTTTGAGGCCAGCCTGGGTAACTTAGTGAGACGCTGCCTCAAAATAAAATTTAAGAAGGTAGATGGGCATGTAGTTTAGCACTAGAGCGCTTGACCGGCATCCACAAGGGCCTGGGTTTAATCTCCCAAACTAGAGGGAAAACAAAATGAGGATAAGGACACCGGGGTCCTAGGGTGACAGGATAAAAAGAGCAGATACACGGTCAGTGACAACACTGCACACGTGACCTCTCCCCTCAGAGCGAGGGAAACAGGCCTGTTACTGACCCAGCCCCTCCACCTTGAGCAAACCCCAAGGCCTCCCCATGTCTGTCACTGTCCTTTCTGCAAACGGGCCAGGGTGGTCCCATGAAGGGTTTGACCCTGTGCCCTGTGGGAGGTGGCAACCATGATCCTACCACGGCAAGGCCAGTGTGCCTCTGGTACTTCTGGGGACACGAGGGCCAAAGTCTGCCCTGTTGGACGCTTCAGACTGCACAGTGCTTTGCGTCTGTGGCCATAATTTTAAAATGAGGCCTGCCTAAAAACAACTGGATTATGGCTTCTGTTGAAAACATCGGCTTTCCCGGCCACCCGGGGCTGGCTTCCTGCAGAGGAGGAGCGGGCACAAGGAAGGCAAGGTTGCCCCAAGTTTATGACTCCGACGTCGACCTGGCCCTCCCGGAACTCCTCAGCGCCCAGCAGAAAGCCACAGAATAAAAATCATGATGGTGGGCATCTCAAACGAGATCAGGCACGCTACCAAACAGGTCAGTCAGAAACACACAGTGCCAGGGCACCTCCTACCCGATGCCAGGCACTTTACAAACATCAGCACTCGGTGCAGCTCAGTGTATGGCACAGGCCTAACGCACACAGAGCCCTGGATTCCATTTCCAACGCCAAAACAATACACAGAACTGGTTGTCCCTGTATTTTACAGGTGAGGAAACTGAGGCATGCAGAAGTCCCATGATTAGCCCCAAGACTCACCCATGCTCGGTGGAAGGAACAGGCTTCACATCTGGGATTCACCCTGGCCCAATTCCTGACCTGTTCAGTCTGGTACTGAACAGGTCAGTGACCTCAGACATTTAAACTCCCAGTCTTGGTTTCCTCATCGGCACAGTGGGATTGTTGTGGAAATCAGTGGGTCCAAGTACATGAGCAGTGGCAATGAGGTGGAAGAAGCCCTCCAAGTGATAGCACCTGTCCAGCTCAGTGCCTATGCCCTGAGTGTGTAGGTCCTAAAGTAAGGAAGCCTCAGCAAACCGGGCAGAAGGAAGCATGTGAGAGGGCCTGTCACCAGCAGCCATTCTATCACCACCATCCATCTGACTTCTGCAGGAATCTGTGGGCAGCTTACCTCTAAAGGGGTGAAGTCATGGTTGACCAGGAATGCGAGGACGGCCGTAGGAAAAACAAGGAACTCCACTCGGAAAGTGTCATGGTTCCCATCATACGTGGCTTTGAACTTGCTATAAATCATCCAGACAGTGGTAAAGGAACAAGCTATGTAGACCACCTGGTAGGGACGACAACGGGTTACCTCAGTTCAAGGGGCAGGCCCAGCCCGAGGATCAGAGCTAAGGCTCTGAAACCTCAACCTGTCTCCTCTCAGAGCCAGGGCTCCAGGCCCAGGCTCCTCACTCAGACCCAGGGCTCCAGGCTCAGGCTCCTCCCTCGGACCTGGGCTCTCTCACCCACTCTCAGGGTGTCGGGAAAGGTGGCCTGGGGCTTTACCTTCATGCATGTATTGTACAGTGAGATGTAGTTGGTGAACAGGTCCAGGTAGCGGGCAGTGAACACCACAGCAAACAGGACCTGGCTCTTCCCTGAAATCCCTGTGGTCCAGACAGAGGAGGAAGAAGCTGGCAGTGAGCTGCATGGGCCATAAACTAAGGCACAGAATGGTGCCTGGGACCAGCGCAGCGGCCTGGTGTCAGCTCTAAACCGCAGCTGTCCCTAAAGGCCTTTACACCCACCCAGCCAAGGCAGAGCCCTTTCCCACGGCCCACAGCTAGGGGGCGGCGGGCCCTAAAGCTACTCCAGCCCGAGGCTCGTCCCAGGCTAGGCCTCAGAGCCACCTCGGCCCCCTCCTTGGAGTCCTCCCACACTCTCAACCTAAGGAGGGGCCTAAGGAGGGCCCTGCCTGACCTCAACCCTCCCGGAACAAGTCACCTCCCTCCTGCTCTCTTCCTGGCTGCCACTGTCCACGTCACCAACTCCCAGTCACTTCCCCGACTGCCATGGCTCCCTGTTCCTAGCCTGGAACCCCCAGGACAGCCCAGATCTGGGGTGCGGGAGGCCGAACTGGGGGCCTGCACCATCAAGCAGACTCTGTGCACCCCTAGACTGAGGAGGCGGGCTGACCCCGCGGTGACCCCAGGCCGCGGAGAGAGTTCCCACCAAGCAGTGGGCGCAGGGACCAGTCTCCCTAAGCTCCCCAGGCTCCCCCGACCCTGGGACGCCCCCGCCCTCTGCCCTTTTCTCCCCCGGGCGGGCCTCTCACCGGCACACGAGCGGGACTTCCAGATTTTGAGCAGTAGCAAGATGATGGCTAGGAGGTGGGAGAGGTCTCCCAGGAATCGGAAGAGATTCATGGCGGGGGGAGGGGGGAAGGCGGACTGGCGGGGGGGCTGCCCCCCGAGCTGCTGTTCCGGCGGGCGGTT